CCACCATTCCCATAGAATGCCACCTCTGTGTTTATTATAAGTTCATTCAACCTATACAAATAAGAGAGTATGAATTTGAACAAGCTAAGGATTAGCTAAAAATGAATATCATTTTTAACAAGTATGATACAGTAAATACTGCATGAACTAGTCTCTCTTGTTTTGATGGTAAAAATAAAGGGATCTGCTTTTTTTTCACTTTTTGTCTTTTTTAAATGGCATCTGCTTTTAAAGTTAACGAAAGTGGGCTTCATATATCAGACAATCGTCCAAAAAAGAAGTCACTGTACTACAAAATTTTTACTCTACAAAGACTATTTTTGAGGCATGACGTACCCTCCTGCGTAGTTTCAAACTATGAAATTTTTAGGGGTGCCTGGGTGCCTCAGTTGGTTAAGTGTTGACCCTTGGTTTCGGCTCAGGTCATGATCTCGGGGTGGTGGTATTGAGCCCTGGGTCGGGCTCCTTGCTCAGTGGGGAGTCTGCTTGAAAGATTCTCTCCCTCTGCCCCTCCTCCTCCAAAAAAGTAAATAAATAAATATTTTTAAAAAAAATTTCAAGGCACAAGAAAAAAATATGATTATTTTGGATTTAAGAGTCAAGTAATTAAGCTTTTAAATGAATTTATTTTCTATTTTAAAGTTAAAAATAATTTAGCATCACTTTCACTTTAAACTCTTCTCCATGTATACCTAACGCATAATCAAATCCCAATGTAACATAAAGCAATCTGAACTCAACTTTTCTTGCTATGACAGATTTATATTTCAGTTTTTACGGAATATAAAAATGAAAGGGGCTTGGGTAGAAGCAAGTGATGAAAAGAATATTCACTTTACCACTTTATTACTTGAATTATTTATAAGAATATTCATACATTGCTTTTATAATTAAAAATATACCCCCAGAGGAACTGATGAGAAAATTGAATGTATTAACATTTTTGTCTGTATTTTCCCTAAGAGAGAATTATCAAAAACCAATCAAATACAAAGTTAACAAAGACACTGAAGTAGAAGAATGCCAGGAGAGAGGAGCTTAAGAAATATAGAATATATATCAAAAGAAACTTTGCAAAAAAAAGATAATAAGTGAAACATGGCATAACAAACAGAGAAGTTGAATCACTATGTTGTACATCTGAAACTAATGTAACATTGTGTGTCAACTCTAAAAATTTTTTAAATAAAACAAAATTAAAAATAAATGAAATAAATCACACTAGTTATCATATATGAAAATATCCATCAACCAAAATGTATTAATCATCTAATAGCATATTCTGGACATTGTGCTACACACCACAGGGTATATTAGGATTGTACTGAGACCCAGTACCAGCCCAGTAGGAATTCACAATTGTGTGAAGAAATTGCAAATTTTCCACATAAAAAGTTAAATCATACACAAGGCAATGTGTCCCTGACAACAAATGATTTATTCTAAAAGACAACATTTTCTAGGCTTCCTTACAACTAAATGTGGTCATGTAACCATATTTTGGTCAGTGGAATGTAAGCAGAAATGGCGCGTCTTACTTCTGGAAAGCTGATGCCACTTCTCCCTCATGATCCCAGCTGACTGCTTCCGCTCCAGCATCACACCCTCCTTCCAGCCAGCAGGAAAGAAGAAAAGGGCATGGTCTCTTGCTTTGTGTATTAGATAGAGTCAGTTAGACCCAGGTTCTAATTGTGGCTTGACCAGGTACCAGTTGGGTGTGGCTGATTTAATCCCTGTAAACATCAGCTAGAAAATGTAGTCTAATCTAGAAAGCAACGTGTCTAGCATATATCGTGGGAAAGGGTAGAATCAATCTGGCGAGCCAGAGAGCTCTGCCACATTATATCTCTAAGAATATCAATGAGAAAAAGATATTTTGATGCTTTTGAAAAACTGAGGTAAATATATGTGCCAGGCATGAATCATTTAATCTATCGATAATCCTGGGTGAGCACATGAATTGCAGGAGCTGGTCACAAACTGGTCTCTAGGGCAAGCTGCACAGAGTTCAAAGGCAGTCCAGACGACGTGAGGTTAGTCAGCTGTCATTGAGGAGGTGAACTGGGCCTTGAAGGGTGTGCAAGACTGGGAAAGAGACGCGGAGGGTAACGGAGGCAAAACCGCATGGCAAAGGCAAGAGGGCAAGAGGAGCAGTTTGGCTGGAGCAGAAGAAATGTGGAAGTGCTTAATAATCCCAAAAGAGTATGAACATTGTCTATCACACGGAAAGTACTGGGAGGTAAGGTTAAAAAAGGCTAAAAAGCCATAGAAAAGATTTTGAATGCTGGAGGGAGGTGTTTGACTTTCCGGCTCGGCCAGTTACTAGAGGTGTGGCCTCCAGCCAAGTTGGTTAAGAGTTGTGGACTTCAACTTCCTCATCTGTGAAACGTGGGTGATTAATAACAACCTAATGGAGTTGTAATGAGGTTAAATACTAGCCTGTAGTCAGCATTCAATAAATAGGAGGATTAATAAAAGAGTGGAGCAATCAAGTAACGTGGTAATTCTTTAAAAGAGTTAATAGCAATCTGACAGCCAGGGAGCCAGGGCAGGAGTGATGGGAGGGGGAGAATCTGAAGGTAGACAGAGCAAAGCAATAATCACCCAGCGCAGGCAATGCACACGAGTTTGCACTTTAAGCTTTAGGCCAAGAAAAATTGGAGTCGACAGAGTGAATATTGGAGGCAGTGATATCAGTTAGGACTACTGCCAGGGTCCAGGCCCGGGATGAGGGCCTGAAATAAGACAGTAGCTGTGAGGCTGGAGAAAAAGACCCAGATAGGAAAGGAACTTGGTAAATGATTGCAGGTGGGAGGTGAAGAAAGGGGAAGAAAGTTCTGGCTTCTTGGACGACTGAATGGCCAGTGGTACCATGAACCAAAACAAGAAAAAGAGGAAGAAAAACAGCACAGGGCTGAGGGGAGCAGAGAGAAAAGGTCACTTTATCACACTCTTGAGAGAGTGTGGAATAGGAATGGGACTGTGGCGGTGATGCAAGGACATCCAGCTGATGAAGGTGCCCCATAACCCAACGGATATAGGGTGCTGGCGTCAGAAAAGGTGTCTGGGCTGGAGACGTATAGATCTGGAAGCTCTGGGACATAAGAGTAGCTAAAACTATAGGAGAAGAAGAGCTCCCCCAGAAGTAGTCTGTGGAACAGAGTTCTGAAGAGGGTCAACACTTTCACGGGCAAAAGAAAGAGAAGCCGGAAATGGGGACATGAAAAGGAGAGATGGGAAACCAGGAGATGGTGGTATCAGAGACACCAAGAGAAAGAGGGGTGGTTAATAGAGTCTTGGAGCTGTTAAGAGTTCCCAAACAGTTACAAAGACCTGAGGGGTCAGAAGGCTACTCAAATGGTTAAATACAATGCTGCTGAGTGCTCCTCAGAGAATTTATGGTGGAATTGTATGGGAAAGATTGGCTCCAGAAATGCTGACCTCCTGCAGGAATGAAGAACAGTTCTGGAAACAGTTTAAAGAAATCTGCCACTACCCAGGGTTACACTGAGGCAACAAGAAGAGGGGTGGAGTTACTGGCATGCTGTTTGTGTCTCGACCTTGATGTCTGTCTGTCTGTCTGTCGCTCTCTCTCTCTCTCAGTAGTGGACCAAAGGTCCAGAAGGGTGAAAATGGAAGGTGCTAGCAGATGCAGCCCCTCACCCTCTCCTTTCACAGCCCCTCCCAGCTAGACTGTAAACTTTTTGAGACTTACCTTCAGCATCTAGTAGTGCACTGTGGATACAGAGGCCCTCACGTTTGTTGAATAAAAAGCCAAAAGCAAATAAGGTAATTGGCCAACAAGAGAAATAAGTGCTGGAAGACATAAGCCAAATAGCACAGAGAAGTGGTGAAGGGGAGGAAAAATTCTTCTCTGCCCTCAAGGCCTTCCAGCTAGACTACGAATTGCAGTTACATGGGACAGATTAACAGGAGAAGATCAGATTTAATAGTGTGCATATGGGGAATCCACAAAGACATGGAAATTCCAAAGATAGGCAAAATGAGGCCTTTATGTCCTTCTGACTCAAGGAGAAGGGGTAGGGGTGTGAGAGTTCCAAGGGAAAGAGCGCAATTCACAGGAAGGTGAAAAAGAGGAAATGTTTGGTAAGCAAATGTGTGCTGGGCCACTGGGAAACAATGGGACATGGAGGACTTGGATCAAACAGGCCTTGCCAGGTTCTTCCCTGTCTACCGTAACTTGTTCATACCATAATGTTGTTCTCTGTGGTGATGGTTCTTTTCCTGGATCCTCTACCTAAATTCTTTTTAGGCAGTTGCAGGAGAGATAAAGAGCTGTTCCTCAATCTGCTGGGTTTTAACTGCTTTTTAACTGAAAATAATCTTCATGCCAAAGTGGCCCATCATGGGGCAGCCTGCCCTTGGCCCCTACAGTGGTTAGGGCTCTTGGAATCAAATTCCAACCTTAGTAGGAAATGGGCTCTACTACCTCCTATCTGGTTGTTTAACTTTGAGCAAGTTCCTTAAATATCCAACAGGAGTTACAATAGAACCCATCCTAAATGAAGCACTCACTTAAATGATCAAGGATATAACCTATTTGGCAAAGTACTTATTACTACTCAACTCACCAGAAGTCTGACCTGAAACATTCAGTACATTTTTAAAGTAATTATAACTATAAAGTGACCACTTGTTATCAATCAGCGCCATCTACTAATGTTTACACAACCAGGAACTGCAGCGCCACATCACAATAAAACCATGGAGATAAAACCTACCTTGCACGCAGTCATGAAAGAGTTTAGAGAAATTAAATGAGGTCATTTATGTAAAAACATCCACCATAAAAATCAACTGGCCTCTTCTTAAAAATGTACCTGTTAAAGAATGTAAAAATGCTTGTACTCAGCACCACTGTTACCAAGCCAAAGCTTCTATTATATTCATTTGGCAAAAGGAGAAAATATACAGCTTTTTTCTACAATCTGATTTTAAAAAGCCAAGAGGGAAAAATAGTCCTCTAAAATTGTACTTACAAATCCTTCTTCTGTAATATCTGGTGGCTCTGAAACAAGATAAAATATGACATTATCTCACTCAAATCTGATTTCCTTTTAAAGTAAATGAAATAATTTGAGACAGCACCTAGCCCTGCTTTATACGTGGGCAAGCTCAGTAAAATTTTGGCCCTCCGTTCATTCTCTGCACATGGATTGAATTTTAAGTTGGAATTCAAGGTGGAAGTGGGGAGGAAGGGCCTCTGGAATCCAGCTTGGTCACTAATTCACTGTGACCCTGAAGTTAACCTTGTAGGCTTCCATTATTCCGGCTGCAAAACGGAGAATTAAGCAAGACAAAATAAGACGGTGCCAATGAGGCAACGCAAACGGGGGTCGCCGGGGGCGGAGCGGGGGTAGAGGGAGGGGGTGAAATTCGCAATAAAATGCTAAGAGAGCGCAGGGGAGCCAGGGTTTGGAAAGTGTGGAAGGGGGGCGCCCGGGCGAGAAGTCACGTCCAGAGGCGGGTGTGTGGTCCCCGCCGCCGCACCTACCCGCGGTGAGCCGCTTCGGG